ACTAGCTTTTCCCAAATGTATTCCCATCCGTGGTGGACAGCATTTTCGACCTTGTCTAAGATTTAGCAGACCCCCAAGCGGGACTCGAACCATGACAGTGCAGCGAATAATCTCGACACGTTAACCACAACTCCACATTGCCTCGAGTGCCCCTGATTCATAGAAGATATGTAAAGGCAGGCCAAGCATTTTCACTTATCATATTCTGTGATAGGATTGTTGATGAAGTAAACTTATATTTTCTATAGCAATCAATTACATTACATATATTTCGTTAAAAGTTATAGCAAATATAGAGTTGCGGCATATTAGACAAAGATGAGTTTCGGAGACTCACTTAATAGGTTGATACTGGCATAACGCTCCTTTCGCTTGAGAAGGCTGGTGGGAGGGAGTTGTAGCTTCGCCCCGAACATGGTCGTAGGACTGTGGGCAGAGGTCTTCACACAGTTTAGCAGATAAAAGTACAAGATAACCTTGCTTTGCTATCTGGTGAGACTGATCTAAAAATCTCTTCCACCCGTCTTCCTAAACGAAATGAAAGGTATGCCAATAATAGCATGTTTCATCGACAATCCTACCACAGAATGTGATATGGGAAAATGCCTCGTCTTCCTTGAAAGTCACATCTGCTCTGCGACCCAAGGGCACTCGTGGAAATGTGGAGTGGTCATTAACGTTTCAAGATTATACGCTGCATTGCCATGGTTAAACTTCCGCTAGGTGTGTTGATAAGGCCTACCCGGGGTCGAAACTGCAGTCCACTTTAGATGAGAATAATTTTATGAAAGCAAGGCTATATGAAATTCAGTGGAAACGTCATATCTACTCATATCGTTGTGTGAAAATTTAACAATCTCATCACTTTAAACAAAGCCCCAAAATAATTTTGTTCAAAGTTTTCGTAAAATCCAAACACGCAAAGAAGCCGCCTAACTGAAAAAGCATATTTAGCTGATAATATTTTTTTAGAAATGCATGATCGTATAGCTGCTACTTACTTTTATTTAGGAATTAAATCCATAGTGTTTGGTGTGAAAAGGCCTGAAAATTGAGCCCCTAAGAATGAAATGGAGTGAAAGCATGCAATTTTTGGTGAATGTTTGCATTTAAGATGTTTCTCTATGATTGGCTTTCTTCCCTATTTTATTTACTTTGCTTACCTCGCCTCCTTATCACAGTAAGACTCAACGCATTTATTCAGAAGTCAATAAGTCCCGCCTTGACAACACATGCCTCACTTCATTTTACCGCTGGACAGAATCAGTCTTGGGACAAAAAGGCTCACAGCTCACATCTTTAGTGGGAACCTGTGGTAAAAGTGAGCTAAGACTAGGTTTATGAACCCACACATATTATATCTTAATTCTTAGGTATGTAAGTCCATTAAACTGAAATGCTTCCAATATTCGTTAAGTAAAATATTCATTATCATGACTTATAATTGAGTTTATGATGCAATTATCAGAGACTTTTGGAAGTAAGCATAATACTAAGAACGATTTCAAGATCTGTTTTTGTGCTAAATGAAATGTAATTTGGACAGACAATGAGATAATCAACTTTGTGCTTCAACAAATATGCATAAACTAGTTAAGTAAGGGGCCTGGATATTCGAACCAAATTAAAGATTGCGCTTTGGATGCTCATAATAAATAAACTATTTTTTAATAATTCTAGGTTCAATCGGGTTCACTTTACCTCCAGACTTTCCCTGCTCCACACCTGACTGGCTCTATGCTCCTTCAACGGGGCTGTGCTACTCACACTCATCACTGATAGACAATCCCAACGTCACCAGAGCTCAGGCTGGTCAAGTCTGTGAAGGCCTATTGAAAAATTATCCAAATGTTCGAATACTACTGCCGCAAATAAAAAGTCTGACTGCGGCGAAAACTCTGGTGGACAATCTGCGTAAAGCCGGAATTATGCAGACCTCGATATGGATAGATGCACAAAGAGGAAGTAAGCAGGCAGACCATACCAAAAATAAAGCAGGACATACACGAAAAATAATATTGTATGTATATGAGTGACACTTGGTATTATTGGTAAAATTCACAGCGAAGCTAGTATAAATAAATGAATTTTAGATGTAAGCAAATTGTTATTGGCCATTTCGAAAGTGTGGCCATCACCAGAGTCTTTCATATCCTAGAATTTTTTTCCAGAAATAGCGTCTAGCTTTTTGAATGCTATCATGAATGGCAAAAGTGATGATGACTTTTGATAAATGGTCTGTCTACCCACAATTTTCTAACTTTTCTATAGCATAATATTGCTAAAATCAGATTTTTGATTGAGTTTGTTTAGAAGGTCTTTTCCCTTCCAAAGGGAATTTTGCTTAGAATTCCAACCGCACAATTGGCCTATGCGACCGAATAATAGGACTTTATTATAGCTCTAAATTCATTCAAATTTATTATTAGACTTCCTTTCACAATTGAGGCCATTAGTGAACAACAAGTGGGGAGGTAATACCAGTCCAGTCCGTTGATAAATCCCGTTTGGAATGTGCGGTACATGGGATTTTAAGGCAAAATCAAGCCTTCGTCTTTGTTGGTAGCATAGAGGCCATTGATTGTATTGGGCCTCTCGTGCAATCATGCAACATAATGGGGTTTTGTCTTCACACTTTTAGCCAGGTCAACAGAAAAAGCTAAATCTACTGGTTGGATATGCTCAGCCTCATTTTATTGAAGGGCTATGATTCTGACTGACCCTCAGCAGTAGAAAAAACAATCGGGCTGCAGGTGCCAGAATAGCAGATATACAATTTGGTCAATACTAGCTTCGCCTCAGCAACAATTGGAATTCTTCAGAATTCACAATTCACATAAGCTCCCTCCCGTCGCCCATCAAGCATATGTTCAGCGATCATTTAAATGAGGAAAAAATTCTTGGCTTGTGGCTCACCCGAACATGCTTACGTCGACCAAAGTGAAAATATGCACAAAGTAAGTTTGACTAAATGAGATAGTGCTTGATTTAGGTAATATAAAGTTGCTTAATTAACA